TTCTACTGCGCAAGCCCGAAGGGCCTATGACATCATAACATCGTTACATCTCCCTTCTTGAACAAACAAAACAAAGAAATGAAGGGACGGTAAGGTAGGCAATAGACGGATGGACAAGTGATTAAACAAAACAAATCTAACAGTGTTCACTGTTCAGAACTGTTCGAAAAACCTTTACAATGGATTCCTAGGTGGTGAAATCCTTGAGGTAAGCAGGTCTCCTAACAATCCTGCCACTTCTAGTAGAGACATGGGCGGGAATAGTTTGCGAAGCTGACTGTAAATCTGGCTGCGAAACATCTGGTAACTGCAACGCTGAAGGTTCAGGGGGCACCTGGAGTGTCTCCTCAGTAGGTTTCCTGGCGGGGAGTAGAGTTTGAGCATTGACCTTCGATTCCCCTATGTCTTCGTCTGGCATCGCTTGAAAGTCCTCAGGAACTTTGTAAAGATGTGAACGGTTTCGGCGGTAGAGCCTACCATCCTCTGTGCGGACTTGATAGGAGCGTGCAGCTTTCCGACTACTCACTTGCGCTTTAAACCATTTTGAATGACCTGGTAACGGTCGGACACGCACCACATCGCCATCTTTTAACGGTTGCAGCTCTTTAGAACCTCTGTTGAAGGAGAGTGCTTGCTTCTTTTGCCTCTGTTGCAAATTCAGGTGTACATCGGGAATGCCTTTTGGCTGAAGGAGGTGGCTAGCTATGGGTAGTGCGGTACGGGTTCTACGCGAGAAGAGACGCTGTGCAGGGGTGCTGTCCATTCCTTCTGATGGTGTATTCCGGAAGTCCAGTAGAGGCAAGTGTGGGTCATGGCTTGCATCAGCAGCTTTTAACAAGATATTCTTTGCTGTTTTGACACTGTTCTCAGCTCTCTGTTCTCTATTGTTGGATTGAGGAGCCGTGGAGACGTTTTAACGTGTTCAAACTGGTACTCGGCTGCAAACTTCTGAAACTCAGCACAGTCGAACTGTGAGCCGTTGTTTGTGGTTAGTCGGTCTGGAATACTATATCTTGGCAGATGAGGTTTCAGCTTGTTAATAACCGCTCTGGCTGTCGTAGACGTCAGTATATCCAACTCGAAGAAATTACAATAGCGGTCAGTTGTAATCAAGTACTGGGTGCCATTGAGCTCGAACAGGTCTGCTGAGATGCTCTGCCATGGTCGTGCAGGTATTTCGTGACATTTCAGAGGTTCTTTCTGCTGCTCTGGTTTGTAGCTGTTGCAAATGCTGCACCTTGAGATGAATTGTGTGATTTGCTTGTAGATGCCTGGCCAGTAGAAGGCTTCTTTGGCTCTCCTGAGGCACCCCTGAATGCCCAGGTGACTGGCATGTACTTTATCCATCATGCATTGCCTGAGGCTAGATGGTACCTCAATGCGCTCCTCCTTGAACACAACACCATCCTGTATTGACAACTCTTCTCTGAAGGAAAAATAGAACTGCAACTGGGAGGGTACGTCAGCCCTTCTCTCTGGCCAGCCTTGTGTAATAATAAAGGCTAATGCCTGGAGCTCTGCATCAACTTCAGTGGCACTTTTGATTTCCTGCAAAGTTAGTTTCCGAATGGGCACAAACTCTGTCATGTCTACATTCTCAGTCTCAACTTCTGTTGGTGATCCTGTGTCGGCAACATTCCATCCATACTTCCTGGGTGTCAACTATGTCTTGTTTAACTAGGGGAAGGTGAGCTCGACTAAGTGGATCAGCCATGTGCATCTCTGTACCCTTTCTGGGGGAAACGTCTAAGTCAAATTTATGTAGACGCAACAGCATTCCCAGTAATCGCTTTGGTGCACTCAATAGACTTCACTTCATAATAGACTCCAGGGGTTTGCGATCAGTGTCAATAAAGATCTTTCTGCCATAGACAGCCCTCAAATCGCTCAACTCCAAAGACAATTGCTAATAGTTCCTTTTCTGTCTGAGCGTAGTTAGTCTCAGTAGGCGTCAGAGCCCTGGAGGCATACGCCACAGGGCGACCATCCTACATCAAGCACGCCTCAAGACCATTCATAGAGGCGTCGCACTGGAGTACGGTCTTCTTTTGGGGGTCGAAGAACTTGAGCACGGGTGCCTGGGTTGAACCCTGCCTCACTTGATCTAGACACTGACCATGAGCTTCTTTGTCCCAGACAAGCTCATTGTCCTTCTTGACAAGCTCTCTCAGTGGTTTGGCCAAATCTGCTAAGTTGGAAGCAGACTTCTGCACGTAATTTATCATGCCTAGTACTCTCTGGACACCTTCCTTGTCCGTGGGAGGCGGCATTTCATTGATAGCTTTCAGCTTGTTTGGATCAGCCCGGAGACCCTCCTACGATATGATGTGGCCCATGGAGCTGACTTGCTTCTGTCTAAACGGTATCTTCTCTGAGTTAAGCTTGATGCCCTTCTGCCGACAACTGTTGAACACTTCTCGCAGGTTTCGGTCATGATCTTTGAGTGCTTCCTCATCGGTGTCTCCTGCTCCGAACACCAGGATGTCGTCTGCTACAGCCTTCTGCCCTGGTAGGCCTTCAAGCGCAATATCAATCCTCCTCTGAAACTCCTCTAGAGCTGGGGATACACTAAACGGCAAGCGAAGCCACCGAAAGCATCCTCAGGGTGTTCCAAAGGTAGTAGCAAAGCTGATTGGCTCATCCAGCTGTATGTGCCGGAACCCATTTTTCGCATCTAATACCGTGAACACACGGGCCTTTGATAACAGAGGCAGCACATCATCCATTGTAGGTAAGGGGTAATGATTTCTGTGTAAAACTTCATTCAATGGTTTTGGGTCAATACACAGTATAACTTTGCCTTTTTTCTTTTTTGTGACCACAAGTGCTGAAATCCAGTTCGTAGATGTATCGACCTTTCGAAGCACTCCAATGTTTGACAATCTGTCCAGTTCTTGTTTTAGAGGCTCTCTGAGGGCAATGGGTTCTTTCCGTGTAGGTAGTTGGACTGGCTGAACATTCTTGTCTATCTCCAGGTGGAATAGCCCTTCTAGTTTGCCTTCTCCAGTGAACACATCGGTGTACTGCGAAATGTAGTCTTCCACCTTGGGACCTTTCTCCTCCAGACCGCTTGATTCCACAGAAAGGATATTCTGGCTGTTGACTGTTAGCAGCTGAAGGTGTTCGCTGGTCCTCAAGCAAAAATGGATTTACAATCACCACAAACAAGATGAAACTCAATGCTGTATTTCTTATTGCTCTTGGGGTAGACGACTTTTAATCGCTTCTTGCCCAAGGGTTTGACCTCTGACTGGTTGTACATTGCCAGGGTTAAGGGGGGTTCTTCCAATTCACTCAAGCCGTTTTGGCCAAACAGCTTTAACACTGTCTCATCAGTCATGATGTTTACTGTTGATCCACTGTCTAACTGAAACTTTTCCTGGTTTCCATTGACCAGTAGAATGGCAAAACTTTGATAGGGTGACGACTGGAGGCTAATGCATTAACCTGTTCTTTCACTTCAACATCGGCTACATATTCATACTCCTCATCTTCGGATTTGTAATCCACAGACAGCACTTTCTTCTTAGATTCTTTGCAACATACCGCAAAATGGTTTGGCTTGCCACAATTCTTGCAAGATGTTCCCCGTGCAGGGCAGTTCTTCTTAGTGAAAGGATGGTGCCTGAAACAAAACTTGCACTTGCGTTCTTGTGACTCGTTTTGGTTCTTCTCTGGAACCTTTGTATTCTTTTTGTCAGCTGTTTTTCTTTTGTCTTCCTTCACGAAACGGACATCCTCTTGA